GTAAAATTTCACTCTCATAAATTTTTCATAACGCACCTAAAGAAGTATAACTTCAAAAATATTGTAAATGTTTTAAAATAGCCCCTCACCTCCAGAGCCCAGTCCCCTCAAATTGGATCCGTCCAACAATAATAAAAACTAGTCAAAACAATGAAGTTGTGTCTAATGTGATATATTAATCCAATCCTAAAGTTAGTCATAAATAAGGCGTTGAATAATAATACAAACATGTGATATTTAAGCTAAAACTTAATAAATTATTGACGAAGCTCGTACATTTTAACGTTTTAAATACTTTACAGACTTAGTCAGCGATATACATAAATCTAGTCAGTTGCCAAATGTATTTTATTTTATTATTATACTCACTTTACTTACTAGAAGTGCCCCGTTTGCCTCCTTGTTACAAAAATATCCTAACAATATACCACATCAATAGTTTCGTTGTTTCAGAAATACCATACTTTTAAAATACGTTCTGGTTGCTTTAGTATGCCGGAGCACGCCCCACCTACTCTCAATAAGTAGCAAATATCGACCACTTGGCTAAATGAACTACCAGCTATATTTTGGTGAACATTTACGGCCGTTATATGTCTTTGGAAACGTTGTGCATTTGTTTAATGGATTCCGTGTGTTTTATAAACTTTTTATTAGCTTGTATGCTTTGATCGTTCTTTAGATTTTTTGGCTACAATTTTTATCAAATTGGTGTAATTCAACATTGAACTAACAAATTAAGAACTTCAAAATTTCATCAGTATCAACTTGATGGCTTCTTCAATGGTCCGACTAGACACATTCTTTTGCGAACTAGCGAACTGTGGAATCGACTCCCTGTGGGGGGGGGGTTCCCTGGACTGGGAGATACGACCTTCAATTTTTTAAAGAAAGTGTATACCTTCCTAAAGAAAAGACCAGCAACACCTACACTTAAATTGTGGCCATGCTGCCCTATACTATAAAAAAAACATAAAATATATGTTTTTTTAAATACTTATATTCTTTACTTATCTAATATTACAAGTATTATGAACTCAAACTATTGTATGTTATTAATGAAAAGAGTAAGGAAGAATAAATAATCCTAATAGAGGCAAAAAAGGTTTATACTAAAACCATTTTGTTACGTTTTTGGCAAGACAAACATACATTGTAAAATACTCTATATCTTTTATTAAAACATAACAATCAAATATACCGTATTTACAATTTTCCTAACCTACTTACTATTAATACAAATAATTAAAAATTCATATAAATAGAAAATTAAAATAAATTTAACAAGTTTAGTCCCTGATGCAGTGTACTTTAACGCTGGCAGCATTTCCTCGCTGTATTGCGATACTTATTCGTTAAGCGAGGAAAGCACCAGCTCTTGGGTTCACCGGTACTATCTACCAAGCGCCAACTTAATAGTAGGGGAGCCCACGAGGCTAAATGGGGATTCGCTCGGCACTGTCCCGAAGTGCTGGAAGACCGCTTTGATACATCCGATCCCTAAAAAAGGCGATCGCTCTGATCCGTCCAACTATCGCCCAATAGCTATAACCTCCTTGTTCTCCAAAATAATGGAATCCATTGTTAATTGCCAGCTCTTGAGGTATCTAGAGAGCCACCAGCTGATTAGCGATTATCAGTACGGCTTTCGTCGTGGTCGTTCGGCTGGTGACCTTCTTGTATACCTTACACATAGATGGGCAGAGGCAATTGAGTCCAAGGGGGAGGCGCTAGCGGTTAGTTTGGACATAGCGAAAGCCTTCGATCGGGTGTGGCACAGAGCACTGCTCTCGAAGCTTCCAGCCTATGGGCTTCCCGAGAAATTACGCGATTGGATCTCCAGCTTTCTGGCCGATCGGAGCATCAAGGTCGTCATCGACGGAGAGGATATCCCACAAGGCTGTGTTCTATCCCCGACCCTATTTCTTCTGCATATCAATGATATGTTGAAACTTAGCAACATTCATTGCTATGCGGATGACAGCACTGGGGAAACTTTTTACACTGGCCGGGCAGGTATTTCTCGGGCAGTTGTTGATGAGTACCGGAACAAACTTGTGTCTGAAGTCGAAACTCTACTACGTGGAGTCTCAGATTGGGGCAGACAAAACCTAGTCCAATTTAACCCCAAGAAGACACAAGTTTGCGCGTTTTCCGCTAAAAAAACACCCTTTGTTGCTACTCCTCTTTTCGAAAACACTCTTCTTAAAGCCACAGCCAGCATTGGAATACTTGGCGTTGACATATAGAGCGACGTTCAGTTTCGCGGTCACTTGGAGGGAAAGGCTAAATTAGCCTCCAAAAAGCTTGGTGTGCTTAGCAAGGCGAGACGGTACTTCACTCCGGGCCACCGTATGCAACTATATAAAGCGCAAATTCGGCCCCACATGGAGTACTGCTCTCACCTCTGGGCGGGGGCTCCCCAGTACCAGCTCCTTCCACTTGACCGTTTACAACGCAGAGCGGTTCGAATCGTCGTAGAGATGTGGGGTCACTCTGCATCTTCTACCGCATTTACCATGGAGAGTGTTCAGAGGAGTTGTTCGGATTAATACCTGCAGCTGAGTTTCATCATCGGACGTCGAGGCAGAATACGAAATTCCACCCGTATCACCTCGACGTCCGACGTTCCACAACTGAGCGTTTTTCAAGGCAGTTTTTGCCGCGCACCACCACTATGTGGAACCAGCTGCCCACTGAAGTATTCCCGAACCAATTCGACTTAGGGTCCTTCAAGAAAAGAGCGTACCAATTCTTAAAAGGCCGGCAACGCACTCGCGAGCCCTCTGGCATTGAGAGTGTCCATGGGCGGCGGTATCACTTAACATCAGGTGAGCCTCCTGCCCGTTTGCCCCCCGTTCTATAAAAAAAAAAACAAAATTTACTCGAGCGTCGTAGAGACATATTGGGATGCAAAGCTTAGATGATAAGAAGAAAAAAATGTTAAATGATATATACCTTTACATCGGTGGGGGAAGCGGCTATAGATTTTTAAATATTTAAAAATAGGTACTTAACTGGGTACAAGGTATCCCCCTGTATATTAATCTGCCGCGCTTTAGTAAATCCCGAAATCCCCGCTTGGGCTCCTGGCCTACTATAATAATCTTTAATTAGCGCCGGTGCACTTGAACCCCACTGCCCAAGAGTCTCTACTCCAAAAAGAACAAAATCGATGTTGGACTCTTTCTTATATTTGAGCCGTTTATTATTTAAAATTGTAAAATAATATATTGTGTGTATATTATACCTAGTATTGTACATTCAACAAATTCTTCCCGTTCTACAAACAAAGAGCTATTTATGTTTTGGAAAACTACGCATCTGGGAGGCTTGTATTTTTATGTCTCCAAAGGATAAGAAAATCTTTCGACATTTACCTGAACTTTGAGAGTGTAACCACGAAATACGGTGTCACTCTCCCAAAATGATAATATATGAAATAAGAAACGAAACTTTTCACATTCAACGTTTCATAGCTTTGGAATTCGCGAATTGTTTATAAAGTGAAAGAGATAAAATTGTGAATGTGGCAACAAAGTTATCATATAAAAAAATGTAAACTTCGTATTACAGAAAATATAAATTGGTATACATATTCGATATATAAGTGTGACTAAAGAAAAGACAAGACAAGAAGATACGTTTTTATATTTTATTAAAACTATCGTTCACTCTGGCAGTAAAAATAACGTAGAAGTATTCTTTTTTACTAAGTGTTAACGTTCTTTAAAATCTTTAGGAAACATCTTAAGCTTTTTTTGTCCATATATATAACCCATATTATCTTACCTTTGTATTTTTTTATGTAATATACATAATTTATTATTTAAAACAAAATCCATTTGAGTAACTTAAATTATAGGCTTAAGGAAGAAATGACTAGGAAATTGTTAACGAATCACATTAAGTAAATTTTCAAAACAATAACAACTGAAATTCATATTCTAAATAATTTTAATAAATTTAGAATAGCCTCTTAACAATCGAATTACCCCCCTGTGGGGCGTGGGTCCCACGTGCGAAAATACTGCTCTATTGTATCAAGAATATCTTTATGTACAAGCATTTCCAGTTTTTAAAATAAAATAAGATCAATGAAATAGCTGAGATTTTCAAACAATTTGTTAAAGACAGCTTCTCATATATGAAATACGATACTTTTCATGTAAATCATGTCGAATGGTATTGAAATGTCTACACTATTATCATTTTTGATGAGGGTCAGTTTGTTTTGCTCAATTCCGGTGTTTGGGCGAAATTGGAAGCGTATCAATACAATTACATTTTCCCTTATGACGTATGTTACTAGATATTGATGTATAATATAATTTACTAATATATTTAACTTTACCAACCATATTATTGTAGATTTGTATGTATTATATAAATCTCCTATTAGTATGACTTATATTTATTTAATCACAATATATAGTTCCCATTGACTTTTTTATAGGGGAGCAAACGAGCTTGCGGGACGACCAAAAAGGCCAGTCTTCGCAGCCCATAGACACCCATTTTTAATAGGTACGTTGCCGGCCTTTGAGGGAGGAGTACACTCGATTTTTAAACATTTGGAGGTCGTATCTCTGAGGGAAGACCCCCACCGGGAGTCGATTCCACAGTTCGCTAGTTCGCAAAAGAAAATGCCTTGTGAAATGGACTGTTATTATTTATTATTTATTCTGTTTTATTTATTATTCATTATTTATTATTTATTCTGTTTTATTGTAAATTAAAATGCCACGTGTTTTTATTACCAAAGAAACGGACTGTGGAAGACCTCCAATCATCAAGATGATGTTGGTGAAATTTAGAGCGTATAAAATAGTGTTGAACCACGATTGCATTTGCTATAAAAGCAGTTAATTGTCGCCGACAACTCTAGTTCCTAAACCTACTTCAGCAGCTGAGTAGGTTATTTGAACTGGGGGCTGAGCCCATGGGTTGTGTCTAGGGAGTGGGGCCTGTGTGTCAGGTAGGCTGGCTCCGGCGGCACGATGAGCTGTGAGCCACCATGCGTGGCCTCTGATACCTTCGGAGCGGTGGTGCCGAGGATTGTAGACCTGGATACTGAGGTTTATTATATATGGTATATTATTAATTAAACTTTGTCATGTTACTAAGACGAAATCCGTACATCTTAGTCACTATAAAATATATATAAAAATATTCTTCATTAGAGAAACAATGTCTATCTTAAAAGAAAGTACTGTAAGTGCTAAATTTAGTATCATAGTTTTATGGTTTTAGTTTTATGTGATCAAAAAGTTAGCAATAAAAAAATTATTCCATTTTATCACAATCTTGTGACTATAATAGATTAATAATTAATTAAAGACAGGCAACGCACTCGTGAGCCTTCTGGCTTTGAGTTTCCGTGGGCGGTATGTTTCACTTTTTCTATAAAAACAAAACCGACGATTTTTTTTATTTTTTTCTAGTAATGTTTACAAACAATAGAAATGTCCAGAAACAGTTGTATCATATGAAAAGATAATATCTCGAAAGGCCACTTTAATTCTAACAGCGTTCGCAAAATGAATTAAATTAGCTACTACATAAAACATGGTCGCGTCTCAAATTACTAGCTTTGCACCTACAGAATGTTAATTGGTTAACGCTTTTAGATCTTAAGAAAGTAATGAATAAAAACTCATTCCTTTAGGTATATATTCTATTGAATATATAGGAATAGCTTATATTAATTTTAATATATTGCCGTAATAGGCTTATTAAATATTTTAAAAACTTATTTAATAGTGAGTATAATATTGTTATTTGTGATTCTATTCAGTTTGATTTAAATTCAAATTCAATCCATTCAAACCCTGTTCGCATCGCTCTCCTGTCGTAAAACACATCTTAAATGGAGTTTAAGAATAATAATTGACACTGTTATTATTCAAAAAATCTCTTTTAAGATAAGTATAGTAATATAGAATTCTGGAGCATTTTGACGTGAATACGTCTATAGAGACCGCGCTACCACTGAATGCCGATAGACGCGGCGCAAGCGAGTGGCGCACCGTAGTAATATGTTGTTAGTGCTAGGTGCAAGGCTATTTTACCCCAACGTAACGTAAATTAATATGAAATTCGCGAACTACTCTCCAAGATTTGCTTCTAATGTTTTACCTTAAAATGAATAAAATAATATTTCACTGTAACGACAAATTTAGTTCCCAGGGTTCCCGTCGGCAATGAGTGGTGGCGCGGACTCTAAATCTGCTACCATACGGGGGCAACAAATGACTTAAGTTACTGTGATTAACGTCAATTAATGTTATGCTTACATTATATTTTTGGTGCTCAAAAATCTTTATTAATTATAATATATGAAACTATAGCAGCATAATAATTATAATAACTATGTAGTATATGGAAACATCATCAGTGAAGTAGACAGCTATTTTTATGTGCTGTGCTCCATAGGGAATAGTCGAGACTATAATGTTATAACCGCTAATATCGCTCTTTTGATAAACATATGACACTCTTTCTTATATTTCTAGTATGGCCAGAATCCAAAGTAAAGCCCATAAAAATTAGGTTGGACCACGGAGAACGTTCGGTTTTGTTTTTAGAGAAAAAAATATGCATTAGACCCTTAAATTCATTTTGCGGGACCAACACGGCGCTAATTATATTCTATTAAAATAAGAAGTGTAAATGATTTCTGGTTTTACGGGTTAAATTTAAAATATATATAACATTTACTAGACTTTTTTTAACAATTATACACATCTATACACGTGTCGATCTACTACTGGAAAAAAGGTAGTGGAAAACTATCTTCTTGACTTCAAGTATCCGGTAAATTCAGAACATTCTTCGAATGGAACTTGGAAATACGTACGAAATTTTGACTCAGATCCAGTTGTCGCTGCTATTTTAACTTAATTGAATGTATTATGTTTACGTAATTTGAAAGCATAATATTTCAGAATCATAAGGGACACAAAAGATTACCATAAATTATGTTTACCAAACCAATAACAGGCAACATTAGATGGAAATGGAGGAAGCACTTACTCAAGATCGTACTCTTAAAACAATTAATGACACTATTAACCTAATTTACGTCACTTTACCATACTACAAATAATAGTTCTTTACCCATGTAATTAGAGATTGCAGCATTTATAGATTTTATTATCTATGGATAGGCGCGCAGTTCGAAATTCAAATAAATTTGATGTGTTAATTTAATTTAAAATTCAGACATTTTTTTTTGATAGTTATTTGTTTTTGTGAAATTGTAGTAGTTTTTGCCGCCATGGATAAACTGAAAATTCATACAATTTTCAAATATGAATTCCTAAGTGGAAATACCGCTGCGCAAACAACACGATACATTAACCTTACACTGCTTCCATGAACACGGTCAAAGTTGGTTCAATCGTTTTAAATCTGTTAATTTTTAGTTGAATAATCCGCTTCGCGATCGTCCGGTATCCATTCTCGACGACGACGAATTGAAGGCGATAGTGGTTGCGGATCCAACGGTTAGTGTCACACACACACACACACATAAGTGAGTCCCACAAGAGAAGAACTAAGCAACCAACTGTGAGACTTACGTGTCAAAGCATGCATAGCAACTGAATCGGCATACAAACTGTGGGTGGACCAGGGTACAGCACTAAAAAAGATTACTCATAGGAAGATGATCTGCTGGACATGTGCCGAATTTGTATCTTCTTGCCGAATGGCACATTAGTGACAGCAGGTCTTTTGCAAGCAATGATGGAGAAGCTCGCAATTCAATATCCAAGACTTCTCAATCGCCCACACTTCACGACAGACTTTCGCAAAGCTACAAGAGTTATAGCTGAAAGGCCTTCATCACACATCGTACTTACCAAAGCCCAACATATTATATCAGTTTTTTTAAGTGACTTCGCTACAAGGGTCTTATGCCATGTCTTGGGTGTTAGAAGGGCCGAATTCTAAGTAAACCGGAAGTGGTCTAGTTCATGTTAAATGGTCTAGTTCATGTAGCACTTCCAATTGCTACATGAACTAGACCACTTCCGGTTTGGACTGCTACAATTTTATTCTATTAGGCTTGAGCTGGCGGGCTCAATTTTACGGTGGCCGTCTCGACTGTGTTAGCGCTGGCGGCTGGAAAGAGGCCGTGGACTGCGCCTTGGTTGGGAGAGGTGGAAATGCCTCTGACGTAAACTCGGGAGAGCTCTCCGTTACTGGGGGTTGAGTACATGGATTGCGTCAGGTTTTATTTGTAGCAACCTGAATTTGTGTTAAAAAAAGTTTGGTGACTAGATTCGTTTTTGTGTCATAACTGTGATATTGATTGTGTTTAAGTTGTAAATGTTTAAAGTGATGATAAATTACTTTAAGTAATAATAATGAATATGTAATAGCTATTACTATCGATTGCTGAATAGTCCTTAATTTATAAACTTGTGGTCGACTAGTGGTTTATTTGATACAACGGATTTGTACTAATTTTGCTTTGATGTTGTTAATTTATAAGCTCTGTGACATTTAATGACATTGACAGCTGATTGTACCGCTATTGCTCCGACCCATCCTTCCTTTGAAATAGATATAATTGAAAATCACGATTAAGTGAAATACTAAAACAAGATCTCTTCTTCTGTAAGCAGTCCTAATAGAATATAACTTAAATAAGAATAAATTTTTGGTGGAAACATGAAAAATAAATTAAATTCAAAATTCACGGTATTGTTCCATATTTTATTGCATAGCATTTGACTTACTGAGAGACCCCGTCATATAATAAACTCAATTATTCAATGGCGCACGAAACCCCTGATTAATTAATAATTTGTAAGTTCAAGGTGAGTAGAGTGGTTCAATTTCGCACGTCGCTGAACTTGAACGGTTATTTTATTCGGTTATATAAGTGAAATTAGTCTTCTTCATCGTGCGGTTTAATATCGAGGTAACGTTGACATGTAGTTAATTAATATACTGGATTGTTTGATTTTAATATCGAACAGTAATTTTAATATTTGGGACAAGGAGAACACCTGTTGTTATATTTTTAATATTAAATATAAATTCACAGATAGAAATAGACTATAGACGAAAGATACCTTCTTTATAATAATAATAAAGTCTTTTCTAATTCTATTACCTTAATTTCTATTTCAAATTTTGTTAGGGTTCAGTAAATTTATTTATTTATTTAGTCACACTTCATTACATTTATACAAAAACAAATAACATAATACATAAAAATTTGATGAAAAACATGCAACGGGCGAGTTTTGTTAAGCTATGTTAGTCGTAATGTGTTAAGGCCGATTTACATTATCTTAGTGTTTAGGAGAGTATTTTAGTACAAGTTGAAAGGCAAGTTCTTTAGTGCTTTAGTGCGTTGCGAGTGAACGTTTACATTTCTTCCAGTAGAGTATAATTATTCATTACAGCGCCACAATGAACGCGCAACGACGTCGGCAAATACGCTCTTTTCTACGCAAAAATACTAATTGGAGTTATGTAGCAAATAGAAGACGAGATTTTATTCGAAATAAATAAACTAAATATGAATAATAAATAAAATAGCTTCTTTTAAGGCAGTGTATGCCGAATGCCTAGCCTGTTTGTTTTTGTATAAATTGTTTTTAACGTTCCACAAACATTCGTGAACAATATATTCAGACACAAATTTGATAGTTGTATCTTCCGACCATTTAGCCATCTTTAAAAATCAAAAAACACGCACGCGTTTCACGGCACTTGTGCACTCTCCTAAAGATTGTACTAAATTACGTGTTTACACACAACGAGGGAAGATCTCGGGGGTTGCGCGGGCGCGGGAGGGGTATCACTTGATACAAAAATAAAAAGCGATTCTATTTTGATTCAACTTGAAAGTCAAATAGAACCGTACTAAAGCAAGTAGCGTTTACATGTTTCAACTAAAGTACTATCCTAAAGCACTCTCCTAAACACTAAGATAATGTAAATCGGCCTTTAGTCGCAATGTGTTAGTCGCCTATGGATATGGACCCGTCTTGGTTTCCTCCAACTCTAAAATGTCTCTATCCTATACCAATAGTCTGCCAGTATTTTCCTGCTATTTCTATCAAGTCATCAGCCCCCCTTCATTTTAGCCTGCCCACTCTTTTTTTCATGAGATACATTCATTATCTAAAGCAGTGTTGGACTAGTGGCTTCAGCGTGCGACTCTCATCCCTGAGGTCGTAGGTTCGATCCCCGGCTGTGCACCAATGGACTTTCTTTCTATGTGCGCATTTAACATTAGGTCGAACGGTAAGGGAAAATATCGTGAGGAAACCAAAGACGTGTGTCAGGCACTGGAGGCTGATCACCTACTTGCCTATTAGATTTAAAATGATCATGAAACAGATTCAGAAATCTGAGGCCCAGACCAAGAGGTTGTAGCGCCACTGATATATTTTTTATTTTACATTCATTATCTATCTAATAACTTAATGGATGCACTTGAGCATTGTCCACCCTCAACTTTGAAGACGTGCATTTGAATCTCGGCTGTGCTTGTTTTATTTCTACATTCGCATTAAACACTGAACTCACTGAAGGAAGGCATTGTGAGGAAACCGGCATGCCTTGGACCTAACATTCGATAGCTTGTATCACCTACTGAGCAGTGTTGGCCTAGTGGCGTCAGCGTGAGACTCTGCTAACTGAGGTCGTAGGTTCGATCCCCGGCTGTGCACCAACATTCTATGTGCGCATTTAACATTCACCCAAACGGTGAAGAAAACATCACGAGGGAACCGGCTTGCCTTTGACCCAAAAAGTCGACGGCGTATTCAGATTGATCACTTGCCTGATTGACAAATGATCATACAACAGAAATCTGAGGCCCAAACCTAAAAAGGTTGTAGCGCCACGGATTTTTTATCATCTACTTTCCTATTAACGTGCCAAGTCTTCTTGAGCCAAGTGGTATTGCAAGAGACGATGGCAAGAGACCGGACGGTATGAGTTTGATTCCATGGAAGATGGGTCGGGTACTGGTATGGGATGCAACCTGTTCAGACACGCTGGCCCTTCCATCTACATGGAACCAACTACAGACTGGTGCGGCTTGTGAAGCGGCTGAAAAAAATAAAGCAGGCAAATACAGGGGTCTGGGTCTGAATATGATTTTGTCCCATTCGGTGTCGAGACCCTTGGTCCGTGGGGTCCTAGCGCTTTAAGGCTTTTAAAAGAAATTTCAAAAGGTTAGTCGAATCACAGGAGACCGAAGATCTGGCAGCTACCTCGGACAAAGAATTAGTCTACAATTCAAAGGGAACCTGCCAGTATCTTCGGAACCTTGCCTAAAGGGACTCCTTTTAATGATATATTTTAGTTTATGTTAAGTTTCGTTATTTATTTCAATGTATATTATTTTATTATTATTAGATTATGTTTATAAGTTTAATTTTATTAATATTGTTACCATTACACTATATTCCAGATTCAATTATTAATTAATACTATATATTATGTATTTTTAATATCGGGCCATATTTTCAAAACATTTTAAAACAAACTTATTTTAAACTGATTCAGATACCATTTTTCTCTGAAAAGAAGTTATATGAATTCTCCTAGATATAATATGCAACTCCGATAATACCGATCAGTCATTTTGCAACGATCACGTAGACAGGACATTGGATAATATTTTTCATATATTTGCGTTCCATTTTATTCCATTCAATAATTTATAAAGGAAACGTGTAGGAAATCGATTGTAATATTTCTGTTATCTAATGGTTTGTGGTGTTTGCTTATTTCAGATTCTAATCCTGGGTGAACATCTTCGTGTTTACGTCAAAAAAATTCAATAATTGAAACGAGGGAAATATTTTTCTAAAATATTATAGTGGATAATTCACGAAAAGTACGTGAAAAATGGAAGAGAAAACTTGCATGGGAAACTCCAGCGCGTTACGTGTGTAATACGGTCTTCGCGTATTAGTTGTGTAGTTACTTCTCTATGTAATCTATGTTCATGTAGTACATTATATCAAAATAATATAAACTTTATGCTGGCTTGCTGTCAGGGACCAAATATTACACCATATCGACGCTTACGAACGAAGTTCTTATGTTGACCTTTTTAAGTTTCTATTTTTTTATTAATATTCGTCTTCTCCCGAACAATCTTTAGACATACCACCATTATACATATTAATTTACTAGAAAATATTTGTCTAAATGGTTATTAAATTGACTAGTGGCGCATCATTTTTTTATATTTATAATAGCAATACATGGGGTTCCGGTTCCGGCGGTCAAACTGTTAACATGTACGTCAACGTCGTCCGCGGATTTTAATCGTAAAAAAATCGAAACGTAAAAACATTAAAACGAAGTTCATTAAACACAACTAATAAAAGAACACAGTGAGAGTGTTTAAATATCGTCCGATAATTGTTGAAAAACCCCTTCAGAATTATAACCTCAAATTAATAACGGTCATAGACAATAGACTTGTCTCAGCTTAGCTTAATACCAATACCAACATTACGCCATTGTGACAGTGACATTGTCAATAGTAGTGTTGCTACTCAAAAGAAATAAAAGCTGACAACCAGTGCTACCACACAAGAAACGAAATTTCCCTAGTCATGGACAAGAACATGGAACTACTTCTAAACAAACTCGATGAGAAATTTAAAAATCAAACCAAACTTATTACATACTCCGTAACTAAGAGCGTCATGGAGGCTTTAGACGAGAAAATGAAAACTACACTGAGGAAAATACTAAACTCAAGAACAAAATTTCAGAACTGGAATTTAAACTCCAAAGAGCAGAGATAGAAATGAGAAAAAACAAGCTCGTCTTTTTTGGAATCAATGAAAATATTAAATTAGAAACGGAGTTAGTGGATTATATCAAAGAAATAATTGTGAATATGGGAGTTCATATGGATAGCCAAGAAATTAGCAAAGTATATAGAATTGGTCAGAAAACTGATAATAAAAACCGTCCAGTGATAGTCACCTCCACACAGTCTGACCTTCCACAAGGCGTCAACATAAAAGAGGACTACCCCAAAGAAATCCTAGACAAATGCAAACAACTGCAACCGCAAGTAGAAGAAGAAATAAAGAAAGGAAATATCGCCTATATAAAATACGACAAGCTCATTGTCTCATTGTAAAGAAGCCGAAAGAAAATAGAGACAAGAGGAAAAGAGAAACTTCCGACTCACCAAAGGCACCATTAGAAAAGAAA